ACTCCTGAGGTTCTCCCCATCCCATCCCACTCCCGGGGCTGTTCCCCCTCCCGTTGCTCACCGGGCAGGGAGCGGATGAACTCGTACACGTCCTCCACGTTCCACTTGCTGGGCTCGCTGGGCAGGAAGCGGTGGCCGAGCCCGGGCAGGTCCCGGCCGTGCACGTCGGGCAGCTCCATGTCCCGCAGCTCCAGGTCCCGCTCCCCCTGCCGGCGCCGGGACGTGGAGGAGCTGGCGGAGATCGGCGACAGCGGCTCCTCGTAGCTCGAGTTGTCGGAGCAGCGGCTCGAATCCTCCTGGCTGTGGTTGAGCTGCGGCGACAGCGACGGAGATGCCGCTGGGACACGGCCCCGGGGCTGCGGGGGCAGCGCCGGCACCAGCGGCCAAAAAATGGGGACAAACCCCGGCCCCGGTGCCTCAAAAATGGGGACAACCCCCGGCCCCGGTGCTCCAAAAATGGGGAAAAACCCCGACCTCAGTGCCTAAAAAAAAGGGGACAAACCCTGGCCCCAGCGCCCCAAAAATGGGGACAAACCCCGGCCCCGGTGCCTCAACAATGGGGACAAACCCTGGCCCCGGTGCCCCAAAAATGGGGACAAACCCTGACCCCAGTGCCCCAAAAATGGGGACAAACCCGAGACCCAGTGCCTCAAAAATGGGGACAAACCCCGGCCCCAGTGCCCCAAAAATGGGGACAAACCCAAGACCCAGTGCTCCAAAAATGGGGACAAACCCCAACCCCGGTGCCCCAAAAATGGGGACAAACCCTGGCCCCAGTGCCCCAAAAATAGGGACAAACCCCGACCCCCAGTGCCCCAAAAATGGGGACAAACCCCGGACCCAGCACCCACCCTATGTCCCCCCTACTGGGGACAATCCCAGCCTTGGTGCCCACCCTGTGATCCCAAAATTCAGGGACAAACCCTGGCCTCACATCCCACTCAAAGTCTCCAGTTTGGGGACAAAGCGCAGCCCCAGAGCTCCCTGAAATTCAGGGACAAACGGAAGCCCCAGTGCCCCAAAAATGGGGACAAACCCTGGCCTCAGCACCCACCCTTATCCACAATTTGGGGACAAACCCTGACCTCAGGGCCCACCCCGTGTCCCCCTCAACTGGGGACAACCCCAGGCTTGGTGCCCACCCTGTGTCCCCAAAATTCAGGGACAAACCCCAGCCTTAGCTCCCACTCTGTGCCCCCCAGTTGCAGCCTCAGCACCCACGGCATGTCCCCAAAATTCAGGGACAAACCCCAGCCTTGGTGCCCGCCCTGTGTCCCCAAAATTCAGGGACAAACCCCGGCCTTGGTGCCCGCCCTGTGTCCCCAAAATTCAGGGACAAACCCACCCCAACACCCACCTTGTGTTTCCCAAGTTGGGGACAAACCCTGGCCTCAGATCCCACCCTTATCCTAAATGTGGGGGCAAACCCCAGACTAGGGACAAACCGTGGCCTTGGTGCCCACCCCAGGTCCCCAGAATTCGGGGACAAACCGTGGCCTCGATGCCCACCCTGTGTCCCCAAAACTCAGGGACAAGCCCCGGCCTCAGCACCCGCCCTCGCCTGCAATCTGGGGACAAACCTGGCCTCGGTGCCCACCTCGTGTCCCCCAGCCGGGTACAAACCTCGGTGCCCACCCCCTGTCCCTCAGCTG